GATTGACTGTGTGCACTCAATGTTCACCTTGGGTGGTGGGAGTTATTGCTGAAGGCTAGTGGAAGTAGCTCCGAGTGGGTGAACCAGATTACTCACCTCTGGGGTCCTTCCGTGACGCTGACAATGAGGCAGTAGCTCTTCCTGTCTTTCTTGTTAGAAGAAAAAACGTTTGTAACTGTTCAATGGGTTCTCTGAGCCAAAAAGTCGATATTTTGAAGTAATGCCCTTCGTTGAATTCGGTGCTACTTTTCGTAGTATACATTGTAAGCTATTTGAATACAGTAAAATTTTTCAGATGAGCTATGTTCCAAATAGGACGACACCTGCTTCGTCATTCACTGAGAAGCAAGTGTGTCTCTGAAGCTCGTCTCCAAGTTCTGCGACAGAGTGACCTCTCACGACTCGTCCGCAAAAGCGCGCAACTTTCCACGACGTGAGTCATTGTCTTAGTTTTACAGTTAGAGTTGGTTCATATCATATGATGACATGTTCACTTAGTCCGAGAACTAGGAGTATAGTGGGCCTAATACACCTCATATACTCCCCACCCGTGTGGAGGAGGCATCAACCAGTTCAAGGTTACGGGGCTCTTGTCAACCAGACGTGCTCTCGCTGCGAGGGTCCAGGGAATTTTGTTGAGGCATCTACCAGTCCAAGTACTTCGAGGGAGAAGGTAAAGGAGGAGGGATCAGAGAAGGGAGGAAGGAAAAGAAGGAAGAAGGAAGAAAAAGGAAAGAGAAGAAAGGTTTCCCGGTTGACAGATGCTCTGAGACGCCAATAGCTTGAAGGGAGAAGGTAATGTAGGAGGGATCAGAGAAGGGATGAAGGAACAGAAGGAAGGAGGAAGAAAAAAGGAAACAGAAGAGAGGCTTCCCGGTTGACAAGTGCCCCGAGACGGTATACGGAGTCTGTACCCCTTCCACGGTAAAGTTTATAAGCATCGAAAGAGATTTTTCGGCACTATTCAACTATTACTACCCAAAAACTCGAGAAATGATTCACTGAATCACTAATTACTAGGAAAAGAAATGTTAGGTGCCACACCATGTTTCACCGAAATCGATAGAAACATGCATAAGAGGGTTGTTTGATGCCCTGATCAGAACATGACCTTAATTTTTCTGCAAAGAGGCCACTTAGCGCTCTGTTAAGGCTGAACCTTGTTGGAGGAGTGATTCCCTAAAGGCCAATTAGAAGCAAAGAAAAACAAACATGGGAAAGGAATACACTCCACAACACAGATGATCCGTTTCGCTCGGTATCGCAGACGAATCATCATTGTCTAGCCAACCCCCGAGCTCATCAGTGCGATAGGTTGAAGACAAGAGGACATTGACTACATAGGGGAAGGTGTGAGAAATAGGACAAAAAGAGAGAGATTGTAAAAAAGGGGGGTGACGTGCAAAGTTTCATGCATCAAGATGATGATGAATTACACATAATAATGAAAATTATACATAATAATGAAAGAGTGATATAACACAACAGTACAAGCCCAGCCTTAGTAAAGCGCAAATGATGGTAGTGCTCTCCTTTAGCGCCGATGCTTAGAATGGGTGTTATATCCGTAACCACGATGTCAAAGGAACTCCCGTGTACAAATTTTCAGCCAGTCTAGTGAATAAGGGCAGTTAGGCGCCAGCACCTATGCTTGGGCGCCAAACAGTTCCAGGTCAAGCGGATGTGATCCCTGGAACTAAATTTTCGACCAAATTTGCCGCCGCAGACAAAAGTCGCGGGAAAACTGGACTGTCTTTAGGAGAGGGGTACTAATAGTTCAATAGTGACGGTTTTTTAGCCAGTTGTACCACGGCAGGTTTACATCGTCATGAACCAGATGCAGTCGTTACATACGAAGACAACGTGAGACCAGTGTGCATGCCCTGATGGTCCCACCCTTCGTAGTTATCTGACGGTCGTCCTTGCAGTACGCTAGGCTTTGGAAGTGAGTCTTCTAGTTAACGCCCAAAGTAACAAAATCGAACAGCTGCGCAACATATTGGAATTACTTTTGAGAAGGTTTGCTAGAAGGGATGTTATCTTGACTGTGTTGGAGTCCTTTTTGTTAGCTGAGCGGAAAAGCTAATAGTACTGCTGCTGGTGAGCTGGAAAAGATTCTGTGCGTTATGGTAACGATGAGGAAGCAAGGGATTAGGCACTTGTTTTTCTCGTCGTTAAGCTCGTTGTACTTCGAGTTTTTGTTTAGTTGTACTTTGGCACTGGGCTTAGAGGAGACGCATTGATTTTGGTGATGTAGGGCTACCATGAGATTACAACAGACGATAAATCCCTATCGCATACAATCCTATATCAGCTGGGTCTTGCTATGTCTGCTATTGACAAATCAAACTATTATATTGGTGGTAACCTATATGGTGAAATTTCAGATCATCTTCGTGCTCAGTGCCGCAACCGAAAGTGGATAAAGTTGTCAATAAGGGAGGTTCAATGCCGCTCGTCGATACAGGCCGCTACAAACTTGGCACCATACCCAATGCGTTATGCTTGGGAAGGTCATTGTTTCGACTTTGCTCTGTAGAGGTGCGATGGACTCACTAAAACTATAAAAAATATACTAAGCATCACTTAATTTTTTTTGATATCAGTGCAGCTTGCACGGATACCTGTCTTCAGAAAGAAATAGATAGGTTCCCAACATAGCCTAACCCTAAAGAAATGCGCGAGTGCAGTTGGGTATTCATCGCCTGAGAGTCAGTCAAGCTAAGGCCGCGTTACATTTCGCGTCAGCGTCCAACAGCGTCTCGAGAGACCAGGAAGTATAGGTTTTGACCCAGCTAACGCCAGCGTTCACTAGCGTTTGCCAGCGTCCAGGAGTGGAAAGAATGGGGAGGTAGGAGGGTAGCAGCCAGCTGGAATAGGCGTCGTGAAATTGCGTCGTGTGCAACCACACCGTACAACGTGGTACGGTGCGGTTGCATACGACGCCTAATCCAGCTGTCTGCAACCCTCCTACTTCCCCATACTCTCCACTCCTGAACGATGCTGTACGAAACGCTGCTGGGCGGTGTCGTTCGCTAGTGCGATACCTAACTTCCTTAGCCCGTCGGTACGCTGACTGACGCTTGTAGACGCTGACTTTCGTTTGATCGATATCTTTTCTGATCGCTGGCGGTGGCGTAGCTCGAAACGCTGGTGGACGCTGACGCAAAGTTTGAACGCAGCCTAAGCTCTCTCACTCGAATTCTTGCACAAGCTGGCCGTAACACACGGCAGAGGTTCAAGTTGCGTCTTTTGCTGCAACATGAAATTCGTGGCATGAGACTGTGTTTTTACACTTCTGCACTTTTTTCGATTTGATGAGGAGATCGCAACGTGCCAAAGCTTATGTTGAGTAATGGTGGAGCAATACTGTTGCCAATAGATACCAGCTTCTAAAGAGAAAGAACAAGAATCAATACCATAGATCATACAGCGTGCAGTAAAGTCGTCACAGCAAGTCTTGGTAATATTGATGGAGTGTTATGGCTGTCCTGGCGCAGCTAAACTTGGTCCCTCCGACAAGATGCTTTGAAAAACGAGAACGGATAATGCTTTCTGTTCATGGGAGAGGTTGTGATTAACGGTCCTTTAGTTAGCCTCTTAATATGTTTCTTCCTTTTTCATGGCCAGACAATCTCTGCCCCCGGACAATCCCATGGGACCGCTGAAGAAGAAGGGATTGAGACTCTAGCAAACAAGTGGGAAGAACATACAGGGGTGGGGGGGGGGAAAGACACTTTGACCGAGTCACATATCAGCAAAGTTTTCGCAGCCCAGACAGAGGACGTGGATACGAGTACCAGGGCGGAAGATACCCAAGATGTTCCTCTATAAGCAGGAGCTGGCTCTCGCCCATCACCTTCATGTACACCAAAATATGAAGTCATCTCCAGTCGCAGCCTGACTGGAGAAGACCTTTGGAATTCATGTCACCTCCAAACAGCTGCGAAACTTCTAGTGTGGAGTCACCCATGGATAGCTACAGTACTCTCGATCTGGAAGACCTCCAACATCGAGCAGCTCCGACAACGTCGCTACGGTCTAGGACATCATCTTCACCGCAGTCGCCAAGGCGCGGGTTGATGGTATGGACCGGACGTACCTGGAATGGAAAGACCGATATTTTCTTCGTGGACCGGACTGAAGGTGAGCGCTGGCGGTTACATCGAGCAACTCGAGAAGAATATCCTCCCCACATGTCGTCGCCCGTACCTTCTTGGAAACTTTGTACTGCTACAGGATTGGGTGACACCACATGGAATCGAAGGGCGTTGGAAAAACTCTCGCCCACTACTTGGAATGGAAGGGCGTTGAGTACCTGAAGAAGATGGAATATCAAGTAGGTCACCTGACCTAAACCCCCTCAATTACCTGGTTCGGGCGGAGTTCAATAGGGTGGTCTACAGTGGCGGAGAAATCAACGATCTCGCTGAACTCAGGCACCCACTCACGGTCGCGTGGCAGAATCTCTCGATGGCGCTCGTCCAGAAGGCTGTGGCGGAGTGTCATGATAGTATTTTGCTCTTCAATATGGTGGTAGAAATGTCCGATCAGAATTTAATAAAGTGTAACTTATAGCGCCTCGAAAGTCAAGGAAGAAAAGTGTCTTTTTTTGCCCCCTCCCCCTGTATAGGGGTTTTCGAGGTCTCGCTCAGAAAAGACAGGTTATTGATCATTTTGTTACATTTTTTATGGTTTCACTTGAGGATCTCTTCAAAGCGCGATTTCAAGTTCACATTTCAAATATATCCGATATACTCCATTATTCCTCCCACTCGGATAAGCTTTACTAGCCAGTTGTTCAGGATTGTTGCCACACCTATTGCTGGATATCTCGTTGTGCAACATGAGTTCCCCATCGCATTTGGTCTCTTCGTTGCAGCTGGAGTAACAGATATGGTTGGTATAGTGTAGTTACTGTGAAGTTCATAACTTGTTGAATTGCCATAAGGAAAAATAAATGCTGTTTCTTTATAGCTAGACGGTTTCATTGCGCGAAACATACCGGGCCAAAAGTCTCTACTTGGCTCAGTTTTGGATCCGATTGCCGACAAGCTGCTCGTGAGCGTTATGTTCGTGACAATGACCTATGCGGATCTCATTCCTTGTACGTAAGTTGTTATTTATGTTCTGTCAGTGTGAACTGGAAAACATGTCTTTTCACTGCACTGGGAAGATACCACAGGTCCCGTAGATTCTCGGTGAAAGAAAAATAGGTTCGATCTTAAGGGCTCTAGTGGCAATGTGAAGGTCTCGCCCTTTTTATCTTTTAGGCCCACTTCTTTGAAGTCTGAGATTTTCATTGGGGTTTTTAATCAGAGGCGATAGGTGAGTAATTGGGCATGAAAGTATTTTGATCCACTGAACGCGAATATCATATCCGTTTCGCGAGAAAGCGCCCGTCACCTCAAGGCTTATTAGAGGCTGACCTCGCAAGAGAAGCCGGGTCAAGCCGTCCTTTTTTACTGGAGCGCTTGGTCTTGGGTGCAGCTTGATCTAGTGTTAGAACCCAAGATTCGGTACTGGTACGAAAAAGAACAGGTGCGAGGTCTTAGAGAAATTGTGGATGACGAAAATCGGGTGGATTCTTGAGTCCATAGTCTGTCGATGAATTTCTAGAATTGAATATAAAATGAGCTGGAAAGTGTTGAGCTTCTTTAGCAACGTCATCCTTCTTTATAATGATTGTTTCAGGGCAACTCACTGCTATAGTTTTGATTCGTGATCTATGTCTGGTAGTGGGTGGCTTTTACATGAGGTATCGTACTATGGAACCTCCGTATTCCATGAGTCGGTTTTTCAGTCCTGAAGTTTCTTCTATGCAGGTTGTTCCAACAGTGATAAGCAAGGTGAGATGGTTGCAGCTCGACTTTTTTGGGCAAGTAAAGATTTCTCTTGGGTTTCATAACTGATGTAATGCCTGAAGCCTGATTTCATGCGTAATCCGGATATAACGCTCAATCGGCGCTGTTTAGCGACGGGGGGGCATTTTGTACTAGTTTACGAATCTCACCATGGTAAAACTTGTGAACGCCTGTGAAGCTGGAGTAAGATCGTCTAGCCACCATCCTAAAACGTGTCAACTCGAGAAAAGGCTACCTAGATGGGTCGGCACATCTATGAAAAGCCGAATGCCCCCCCCCCGTCGACAAACTGCGCCCACTCAATCTTTTAAAGTACTCCGTGATTTTCGCTATCTCACAAAAACTGAATGATCTTACCCGCCCCCGGATCCTTAAACAACTTACCTAGATCGTTTGAATTTCATATCAATTCCGCTCTACTGATGTAATTATTTTCCTTTTTGACAGTCCTTAGTGTGTTTTCATGAAAAATGTCTATATAGTTCATATCAATTTCGCTCTACTGATGTCATTATTTTCCTTTTTTGACAGTCCTTAGTGTGTTTCCATGAAAAATGTCTATATAGTTCAATACCAAACAACTACTTTTAAGTTTATGTAGTTCAGGTGAATACCGTTTTGCAACTCAGTGTGGTAGCCACCTCTCTTTCCATCCCTGTATTCAACTTAGTTGAACCAATTACTTCGTTTTCCAATGGCCTGTGGTATGTTTTTCGCAACAGCATCATTTTTCTAGTCGTAGTAGTTCTTATTGTCACAACCTTTCAGTTGGGTCACGGCGTTAACTACAATATGGTCAGGTTTACAGTATGTCAGTGGTCGAGCTCTAAAAAAGGTATGATATGCAAGTTACTAGAACTCGTTTTGTGATACCATGTGATCGTTTTATTTCTGTGCTTATGTTTTTAACTTTAACATTTGTTGTGGTCACTTGAAGGCACGTACCGCGACCAAATGTGGTGGGTATTG